GGGGGGGGATTATAACCTGAATCCCACTCTCTCTGCTCTTTGAATTGAGAAAGCTCCTCGGACAGGGCCAGATTAACACTTCGCTGTACCCTGGGCAACAATCTTCAAGGGCCCCATCATCACGACCCCAGAATCACCATAATCTGGCAACATACAGAATAAATGACCATAATATACAGTAAATATACTTAAAATTCTAACTATCAAGTGTATTTTTGTGTATAAAACTCCAAATGCTCATTGACACAAACCATCAAGACTGAATTAAGTTGAACGCACTTTGAAAACCACATGACACCACATGTGTACTTGTTAAGTAACGTGTTGGCCACTGGTGTCAGAAGCATTTATAATGTGTGTGTGGGGGGGACACACTGTTGGGGGGTCTAGGGGTCCTCCCCCAGAAAATTTTGAATAAAGTAGATGCCATTTCCTGCATTCTGGTGTGTTTTAATGGTTGTTTAACATCTAGTTTTACCTACACAAGTAAACACTGGGAACACCTTGGGATTCCCCTGGAGGAGCTGGTCCAAGTGGCTGGGGAGAGGGAAGTCTGGGCCTCCCTACTTAGGCTGCTACCCCCCCCGGATGGATGGAAGTAAACACTTGATTCAGTAACTATTTTAGAGCTAATGGCACAACAAGAAGTAACCTGACCAACAGCTGATTCAATTAATTAAAAATATTATATATTCAAAGGTGATGATTTGATGCCCACATTAAATATCTGTAACTTAGTTGCCTTCAAATGAAATAAGATTATCAATGAATGTTTGCGACAAAGGATTTACTGAGTATAACAAAGACTCCTTCAAGAAACCTCCCAATATAAATCATAAAACCAGAATGATTTCTGCTCATTCTAAATGTCAAATGGCCCAAATCTCCTAAAGTGAAGGAGAATAATTTTAAAATAATAAATAAGATAAATCCTGTAGCCATGTTTCTGCAAAGAAGATTTAAATTTGATGTTGATTTGTTGCCTTTTGTAAATCAGAAGATGGATCCCTCAAGCAATTTTTATTTATTTATTTTTTTATGTCAATACAAAGTGTTTGGTCAGACATCAGAAACTGGTTTAATCTCAAACTCAACACTCCTTCTTTTGATGCTGATGACATTTTACTTTATGTGGAGAACTTAAGCTCAGCTTTCTCTGATGCCATAAATATAGTTGTACTTATAGCAAAGTACCACATTCACTGTAGTAAGAGGAGAGATAATAATTCCTCCTTCCTGTTTGATGAACGATTTTAAGTCGTACTAATCTTCATTAAGTAGATTAAAAATCTGCAAAACTGCTAAAATCATCTCACAACAGATACAAACTTGTTAATTAAAATAAGAAGTTTCTCAAGAAAAAAAAAACTGATGAGCTGTGCAGCAGGTAAGGGGCGTTTACCTTTGGGACAAATTGAGGTTGATTGGTCAGTTATTGACACGCCTTCTGATTGACAGGTTGCACCGTCGAGGATCCGATTGAAAAAAGAAAAAACCCCGAGCTGCAGCAGCTGCTGGGAGGAGGTGGAGCTGCACAAATGCAGCGCAGGGATTCAAGTAAAGCAGGAGCTGGCCAGATATTCTGCTTGTGCCCTGACTGACCTGGGCCCCTTAGAGATCATGGGCCCCTGGGCAGTTGCCCATATGGTTAATCCGGCCTTGTCCTCGTATGAGTGAAACGTCTTGTTACAAATAAAGTCCAGTTGTTTTGAATTCAGTCAGGACGGCATGTTTAGTCTCATCAGCAGCATCAGTGAATGACAGAGTCCCCCCCCCCCCCCC